TCTGCTCCCCAGCTCCCATCAGCTGGCTGGTAGGGGGAGATCAAGATGCTCTAAGATGGCAGATGACGATGGACACTTATTCGCCAAGCTCCATCTCACAACACTGCTACCCTGTTTCCCCGAAAATAAGACCTACCCAAAAATAAGCCCTAGCAGGATTTCTATGCATTTGTGGTATAAGCCCTAGTGTGTCTTCTTGAGAAAAAATAAATATAAGACAGTGTCTTATTTTCGGGGAAACACGGTAATTACGCTGTGGAGATACTGTGGATAAATATTTTTGTTTAGGAAGTAACTGAGGACAGCCCATTTTATCTTATGTGTGCTGTTCTAAGAAGCCAACTGTGTGGGATTTGCAGGCTAGCAGCTTGGAAATACTGGCAAGTTCTCTGGCAAGGCCACCTGAAAACAACTACGAAGGAGCTTGGCATTGTTGCCATCTATATCCCGCTACATCCAGACTGTTATTATAAATTTATTTTCTGTGGCTTACCCAGTGAGTTGTGCACTTGAGTTGTCTCTTTGGACTGCCTCTTTGGTCTTAATTATTACATGATCACTAAGTGCTAGTCATGGATTTCAAGGCCAAAGACTTCAACAAGGCAACAAGAGAGGCTGTGGTCACACACGCTAAATAAACCACTTTCAATCCACTTTCAGTGCACCTTCCAACTGGATTTTTACTGTGTGAACTGGCAAAATCCAGTGGGAAAGTGGATTGAAAGTGGATTGAAAGTGGATTATTTAATGTGTGTGACTGCAGCCAGAATTTCAAAAAATCCTTATGACTGGACTTTTGAATAAGTTGTTTGCATTATTTCTTCATTAACAGAGCAGCATTTATTTGGTTTCAGGAAGGATTTTTGTGTTAGAAACATAGTGTGCAAAGAGACAGGGGTTTGAAAGCACCTTTGTGGGTCAGGTGATTTTACCTCTCATCCTGCTCTTAAACAAAGTAAGACTGAGGATTTCTTTGTTCCTGCTACCTCCCCCTCGTATAATGTTCCTATCTCAAACTGTTTTGCAGTTTTATCAACCATCTCTGAGGTCTCCCAGAATGATACTCTGTTTGCCCCCCTATTCGGAATAAAGAGTCAGACACAATGATTGGATGAACTAAGGGCCACTTTATTATCTTATCAACTTTTAAATCAATGACAAGGGCCAAAGTGACCTGCGACACAATCCAGGCTAGGTGTCACCAGCCCATCCCCAGTTGTATAGCGGGGACCCACCTGCTCCCAGTTTGAGCCATCATTTTGGCCTGCACCAGTCAGGCATGCAAAGGCAATGCCCTGGAGATCCAACCACCAAGCCATATAGTTTAGATGGCTGATCAATCCATGCACTTCCCAAGACAGTCTGCTATCTTTACCCTGGGTAGCGTAACCCAAAGGCTCATCCAGCCAGACTCCTCTCCCCCAAACTGGGGTCGTTAATTGGTCCTCCCCCAAGCCGCATGTCAATCATCAGCTCCCAATCTAGCTAACTAAAGTGACCAACCTAACCAATAGGCACCACCCTATTCCAATTCCACAACACACTGACTAACTTTATGAGGTAGGTGAAAACCCAACCCTGACCAGAGCCAATCAGCCAGGGATCAAAAATTCCTACCCGGCCCCATTTTAAAACCGGCGACCAGCAAAAGCCCATAAAGAATCAGGGTGAAAGGGTGGGCCAAGCTCAAGGCAGCAACTGGAGATGGGCGGGCGAGGAGCCCCCCGAGCAGGACATGTGTCCCCTGATAGCCTGTTTGCCTGCTCCGCCCCCTGAAGCAGGGCATGTGTTCCCCGACAGCCTGTTTGCCTGCTCTTCCTCCTTCAAAGGAGGCAAAGGCGGCCCCCGGCTGTACAGCTGTGCCGTCAGCTGGTGGGGTTGGATTGTAGATCAATGTGCAGACTCAGCCCACTTATTAGAGGAAGATGCAAAAAAAAATGCTATATTTGTTGGTAACACTCTATGAGATCTTTCCTTCCTGACTGCTAAAACAGTGGAAGGTATTTTTGAACAGCTACAGCTCGTGCTCTCAAAGGTTGACTCTCACATAGTAATAGAGAATTACAACAGGAGCCTTTTAAAATCTAGGAGTCCTGAGCAGAAAACAGCTGGCCAGACACTTCAGGAGGAGGCACTGAAAGATGGTGGGAGCCATTCCAGCCCTTCACTGCCTGATAGTGGGAGACGTTTCTCCCATTTAGTCCTCCAGACTCATACGGTTTGTCTGAACATCCAACAATTTAATGGAAGTATCCTTTTTTTGGAATACTAAATTCCAGGCTGAACAGCACCTGAGAACTTTATCTGGCAACTGAATTAGGTCTTCTAAGTTGAAATCAGTTGAATTCCTTAATCACTCTTGCAAGGCTTGTAGAGTATTATTAACACTTGACTGCCCAGCTGTCCCCCCATTATTAATCTGACAGAAAGACTTCCTAAATTCAAAGGGAATTTCCCCAACATGAGTTTTTATCAACACATGACAATCTCCTCTTTTTAACCATAAAACTCCACATCTCTTCAGTCTTGCAGCCTAAGAGAAGCACCAGAAGGGAGGACCAGCTAGCACGTCATACCATGAGCTAATTCGTCAGGATGACCCTCCAATGCTCTCCTTTTAATGGTACTCTAGAAGAGAACTGAATAAGTTCTTCTTCTGCTCTCTCAGCTTCATAGCAGACAGCAATCACTGATAGTAGGGATCAGTTGAGGTCTAGACCTGGTTCTTAAGATGGGTTGCTCAGCATTTAATGCCCCAGATCTCACTTTCCCAAATGGTGGATGCTGAGGTGGTTTTGGTAAAGCCAACACTAGCTCAACCATTCTCTGATTTATTCAACCCTCCAGGTGCCCCTCCTGCAGACAGGGTGCTTTCCCCACTCAGTATATTTATACCCATCCCCTTAGTGGAGGTGAGGGAAATGAGGTAATACTCAACTGTTGCATTGAGGATTTTGAACTGTGAGCCTTTGACATAGAATGTAGTGCATAACTCCCCCAATCTACATCAAGTGTCTTCCCTCAAAAATGGATATATTTTTGTAGACTCAGCACGGGATTTGGATAGAATAGAGAGGTCCAATTGACAATTACATCCGTTTTCTTGGAACCTTGGGTGGGGGAACAAACAGGTGTCCAGGAGTGCTTCCTTGCTGCTCGTGTTGTGTCCTGCTGGCCAGGCTCATCCTGTAAGATGTGAGGGAGGGAGGTATGGTGGTGGGAGGAGATTGGTCTCATGACAGGTGATGAGATACAGAAATGCTCAGGCTCCATTTAATCTCCATCCCATCCAAAGGAATCACCAGCAGCACAGGCCCAGTTAATTCCCTTCTCTTCAACCTTGATGCTGTGTGATGCCAGGTCAGTAAGAAATAAGACCAAAGTTCTCCCAGAGACTATCCTGGAGGGATGCTTTGACCTGGTGTGCTTGACTGAGACGTGGGTGGGTGAGGATGATGTGGTTCCCCTCACCCAGTTTACTCCCCCAGGATAATCGATCCCCCATCAACAACAAACTGAGGGGAGGCAGAGTGGAGATCCTCATCCAAGACCATTTCCCTTCCAGAGAATCTCTGTGCGTAGAATGTGTTGGCCTTGCTTGGGGTGTTGGAGAGAGAGTGCTGCTGCTGTACCATTTGCCCAGCTCACCAGCAGACTCTCTTCTGAGGCTATCAGAGGCAGTAGCGGAGTGGACTGAGTGTTTCCCTAGACCGTTTGTCTTGGGGGACTTTAACATCCATTCAGAGACCTCCTTACTTGGTGCAGCCTCAGACTTCATGGCTACCATGGCAACATCGGGACTCTCTGAGGTTGCATCAACCCCCACGCATGATCTTTTGTTCAGGTCTTGATCTGAATAGCACAATTGTTTGTGAACTGGTGCTACAGTCAGACCACTACCTCATAACGGTCAGTTTGGGCATGACCATTCCCCCCGCAGGGGCAATGAGCATATTTATGCTCGCCCATAAAGACTAATGGATCCTGAAGGTTTCCAAAGTGCTCTGCAGGATTTATTTGGACCTGCCGACAGTTCCCTTGATGAGCTGACTGAGATTTGGAACAGATGTCTTCAGGAAGCTATCAATCGGATTGCTCTGCGACGCCCTCTGTGCCCTTGTGTCTCTTTGGCTCCTTGGTATAATGAGAGTCTCAGAGATTTTAAGAGGTTGCTCAGATGGCTAGAGCAGAATTGTCAATGAACACGGGAGGAAGCTGTGGGAACGCAGTATAGAGCCCAATTGAAGGCCTATGAGGTCGCAGTGAAAGCAGCAAAAAGATATTATTTCACTGCTTCCATTGCGTCTGCTAGCTCACAACCAGTTCAATTGTTCAGATTGGTTCAACAATTGACCGCCCTTTTGGTGTGTCCTAAAACTGATACTGATTTGGCTCTCAGCTTTGATTCATTTGCAGACTTTTTTGTGGCCAAAGTCTCTAAGCTCTGCCTGGAGTTGGCTGCTTGATTTGCTAACAGTAGTGGGATGGGGGCTCTACTTGTACCATCTGGTTCTTTTTTGGACTCCTTTAGCCTGTTCATCATTGAGGATGTTAACAGGATCCTGAAAGCTGTGAAGTCAACTAGCTGCTCCTTGGATCCTTGTCCCCCATGGTTGCTAAAATCATGCCACAAAGTCATCATGCCAGCAACTTCTGGGTGACACTCTGGTATTTGGGCAAAAACTCTATGGTAGGTTTTTTGCCTGAATACCAGAGCATTACCCAGAAGTTACTGGCATGATGACGTCGCTTCCTATGCAACACCTGCAACATGGGCTGGCAACTGTTTCTCCTGGTAAATCACCCCATCCCCCGCCAGTTGCTAGGATAGACCTGGCAACCCTAGGCTCATTTGAAGTTAATTGATGCCAAGGCATTCACAACATAATCTTCTGTAAATGTCTCTTCCACACAAATGTTCCATATTAGCCATAAAGGCTATTTTTTTCAAAAGCTAGACTGTATATTTCTTTTAAAACTACTGACATTGATTTATACAGGTCAAGGATGTGGCTGTTTATAGCAGCAGTGTGCTTAATCCAACATGCTACAAATACAGAAGAACTCAGAACCAAGAGACATCTGAATCCTCAAGAATTCATGACCGTGGTAAATTGCTTATTTTGCATTTGGAACCAAAGCTGAGTTTATCCTGTTTGCAATGTCCTGGTTCTATTGATTCAATGTCTTCATAAAGTTGTATGCATGTTTCGTTCTCCGTTGTAAAAGAGTAGTATTTTTGTAGGTGATCAGGTGGGTGCATCAGAAATATTTGGGTTATTTTGAATCTGGGTCTGTCAGACCTGAAAAATATCTGTACACCCAAATATACCTGAATACCAATATCAGTATTCCACTGGATTTGGGAACCCGAATATATTCAGCTCCATCATACCCTATGGGGACCGTCTCCATAGAGTATAATGGAGAATTTCTGGAAGATGGCCGCCGGAGCTCGATGAGGGTAGACATATGCGGAGTTGCTCCATCACTTGCTCCTTTTCCTGGGTTCTTTTTCCTCTTTCTAGAGACCTTGAGTCTCTGAGTCTCTCTTCAAATTAGGGGGGAGAGCAAGAGGATTTCTCCAGCTGACAGGTGTGAGGCAAACACCTGTTTTTGCATTTTGGAGCTGCCTCGAAGTGGGAGAGCCCTGAGGATGCCCAACAGAGATGCCAGACACCAGTTGAGCATAGCGGACCACGCTAGAGTCATCACCTTCTAGCAACAGAGAACTTCTTAAGCCAATTATAAGATAAGTATTATAACTTAGTATATTTGAGCTGAGTAAATACCTGCATTTAAAGATAACGTGTATTTTCTTTTACCTGCCTTACCTGCCCCATTGATACAAGAGCAAATTAGTTTACTTTTGGTTGTCAACAA